TTATTAATTTCTTTTTTCTTTGGGGGGTGGGGGTGGGGTGGTAAGGAGGTGGAATGACTTTACTTTAGTCGGCCTGTAATTCGTGTATTACCAGGATTTGGTGGATATGAGATAAATGAAGTTTATGTTTGCATTCCTTTTAGAAGTACTATAGATATTATGGGGGTTTTGCAACACAAACCACTACTCCACCTGATCATTTATAACTAACTCTGCTCTTATAGAGTCCATTCTGCAACCCCCACCAATCAGAAAGGTAATGTTGGGGCCAATGATTTTAAACAACGGAGATGTAAGGGTGCCACGTGGCCCGTCCCCTTGAATACGCCCAGGGGTTGCAGCTTTAGAAGGTCTATCCTCGTATCCTCCAATCCACCAATCCCCTTGCTGTTTGGCAGGTTCTCGCTTCCGAGCTGTAGGGTTGTCACCGTAGGTCGGCTGGTTATCGAATGTTGTACCAGTCTTTTCCCAGCCAACTTTTCCATCTTCGAAATCGAACTTACAAGCTTTAAAAAAGAGAGATTTAGAAACGAAAGCAGTTACAGCGGTTGTTTTTTTCAAAAAAGAGAAAATGATTGACTGATAAAGCTTAGATAATGTAAAAATGCTGCGAGGCACTTCGTTCCGCACTAATCTTTTGACATGTTCTGAACAAAGGCCATTCCTGAGAGAATAAGATACTGGATATCAATTTAAACCTGATAAAAATTATGCAACAGGATATTTCCTCTATAATTCTTGGCTCGAAATCGTCCGTCTTGCGAGATATAAATGATACATGTTCCTCGCGAGTTGCTAAAATGTTTAGGTGGGAGCTCATCTTGTGATTTTAATCCCATCGGTAAAAGTCCATTACTCTTCAACAAGGTTTCATTGTATAACAGAATGGCAGGGACACGGGAGGTCTCCTCATTGAAACATTTTTCTGCTGCTGATTAAGGTGAATCTGCCAATTACAAATCGTGGTACATCATAATCTGACCATGAGCCTTTACACGCTTCATTTTTGTTTCACGGACTTTCCCCTCGTCCACACTTTACGCCACTATTAGAAATGATTTCAAAATGCAGGAAAGCATGTGATATACAAAGCGTCTGCTTTAACTATAACTAGTCATTACTCTGGAGGTTTTGCAAAGGCATAGCAATAATTCTTCAGACCCTGTTTCTTAAAATAAAATGAAAGGTTTGACCACTAAACTTGAAGGCTTACATCAGAGATGGAGTCACTTGGTAGTGGTTTTTCTATAAGGAGTGCATATCTAACCATTGAGATTATGAATTAGTATACAGGTGACCTCGGAGTACATGTAGAAGTAGTGTTCGTTGAAAACAATTTTCTTATTTTGTCTAATAAGTTAGCACCTTGGCAGCGTGTTCCAGCAAATCCCGCCTTGCAAACACAATGGAAAGAAAGCCCTGCACCATCTTGAACACAGATCCCATTGTTCAGACATGGCTTGCTATGGCATGGAAACTGTAAGTATAAATAACGACAAGGAGAAAGGATTAACAGGATTACATACACATGTATTTCTGTACCATAAAAAAGGTTATTATCAGAATTAAATTGGTGAAGTTTCAATTTATAATGAAATAACAAAGACACTAAATATCACTGTCTTTCACTTAAATCAGTTTCAGGCAGTGAACATTTACCATCTTCATTCACGTCATCATTACACAAAAGCATCACACATCGATATTTTTATCTTGGCTGCATGCACGAGGTTTGTCATCATGAATCTAGTTCAACAACTCAGCCTATCACGAATCTCCTACAACTCAGTGGTAGAGGGTTCGAAAACTATATGAAAGGTCGCAAGTGCGAGTCCTACAAGAGTTTGTTTCTTTTCCAAGTACGCCTGTGTCGTTCACTAAAGAACATCCTATGTTCAAGTGATTTCTCTTTTAAAAGTTTTTAATCGACTTTAGAGATTTAGGGAGACCATGGTCACTTCATTTCAAAAGGTAGGTCGCTCTGGAAGTTTCACTGAAAAACAGTAAAGAGGTGTCGTTTCCAAAACGACATGATGGTTAGGTGGTGGGTTTACCCAGCAGGGGACCGAGGGTTTTATTGTATGCCCACCTGTCTCAGGGCGAATTTTGTAAATAAAATAAATAAATAAAGAAATAAAGAAATATATAAGGAATACATATTTGTAACTTTATCGATTGATTCGGTTTTATGATATATTATTACTTTACAAGTACTCAATATAAAATCCATGCACTTGTACAAGTCTAAGGTTATCAAAATGTCTAAGATTTTTTTTTTTTTTAATCATAATTATAAAAGCTCTTTTAATGTTTTCGCAGTCATGGCAATCAACAACTTTAATAGTGCCAAGAGAAATGCAGAACCTACAAGTTGCTTTTTCAAAAAGCGAGTTACTTCAACTAAGAAAAAAGCGTATATTGTATCAACAGTTGAGAGCAATTTTGAAAGTTCCCTGACACATTGATTAGTCCAGAAATTTTGGCGGAAATCAAACGAATATGTCCTTCAGAACTAATGACAAATTCTTTCGTTTTTCAGCATCAGTTTTCTGTCGAATGTGTTATCCTCTATCCCTAGGATCGATTGAAATTTCAAATCTCCTTAAGGCTCATTATGCAGGTTCTATAATGTTAGTTCTTGACTCAAACAATATTTCTTAGTTGATGTATGTCTTTATTCTCATTACCCGTTTGCCTGATAGCGTGCTGTTATTGTGAGTCGAAATCATATATCGGTTACCCTTAGGAATGGAGCGGACAACTATTCTTGGGACTCTGAACGCTAAGGCCAGCTGTCAGCCAATAGACTTATAAAAATAGGCTACAAATTAAATTGTTTATCATGCAAATTTCTACTGCTTTCAATATTCCTCGCCTTCTTATTGCTAAACAAAGGAAATATTATCTTTTAAAGAAAGTAACGTTGGTTATTTTCATCAAAGGAGAAACCAGAAAAGTAAAAATTTTGCCGAAGATGATTAAAGGGATGATGTGTCTTGCCAATAATTCTATATCTCTATATAATTAATACTTCTGTTGAAACAAGGAATATCAATATTTCATTTCCATGACATATGAATTCTACATAAACCTATGTGGTAAAACAAATATTTGGTAATGATAGAAGCCAAGGCATATTCATAGAGGGTGGAAGTTTACAGTAATAATTATCAAATCGATTCTAGAAGATGAGGAACAGGAAATAAAGGATTGAATTAAATATTTTTGAATGCAGCAAAGCAGAAAGCCTGGAGCGAAAAGTCAAAAAATAGAAAAAGAAGAAAGTGGTGGCTTGGAATCAAAATAAACGCTTTTCTCCCTTCAATTAAATTCAGTAATTCCCAGAGTGATTTGTACGAGTTAGGTTTGAATGAATTTATCACAATATGCATTTTTTTGGTAAAGAGAGCTATTTCTTTAAGCGGACGTTTTGAGCTTCGTTTGAGACGAACCGAAATTAAGCAGTCATGTATAATTAATTGGCAAAAGCCTACCAGGCCAATTAATAAAAAAAAGTAATTAACCTCTGCGGGTGTTTGTCGTTTCTATAGCTCACAGCATCAGCAATTTCAGCTTTGCGTGAACTGCCCTAAATGTTTATGGTTCAGGTATTGTTCGCCTTGCCTGTTCTCCCTAAGAATTCCCTTAAAGCAATGAATTAATCATTTTTGCTGCTACATCGTGTCGAACATATCTGTTTTGAAACCCAGCTTGCGAAGTAACTTACTCTTTGCAAAAATCCCTAAACGTTTGTTTGTAATATCTAATTTTTTTCTATCATCGAAAATAGTTTTCTTGAAGACTGTTACCTTTACGAGTAGGGAGAAAGTAACTCCATCCTCTTCGCGTAAACTCGCGCTTTCGAAAACGGAAGAATAACTATGCTTGTTCAGTCCACAGGTTCCGGTTTTTCCACTTTGTTCAGGCGCTTTGAAATTCGTAGAAGTACACCATTCTCTCCTTAAGCACTTTTGGTTGCATAATAACAAGCTAGCGGACTGAAAACGTTCAACAACGTAGCCATGAAGTCGGTTATTATTCATTGTCATGAAGTAGGCTGAACGAGAGAATACGGAAGATTTTTGGTTTGGAGATACTTCGCCACTTGTCTCTCTTTGAAAGGCTATGAGAATTATTGCGTGTAGAGCCTTCCTCAGCATGGTCAATAGTCACCCCAGTTTGTATATGCCTGTAAGAAACCTGTTACACCTTGAGATGGTTTTGTTTTCACTTTCTATTTGCGGAAATAGAAAAACAAAATTGCATGGTCTTTGCAAATGCTAAATTGAAATCGAGAGGTACTCGGCTGAATAACACTCCTACACTTCCCCGCCGTCAAACTCAACAACTACGCATGTCTAGTTTGGTTATATTCGATTTTTTTACTTGCGAGACAAAAGCTAATTGACGAAAAAAAAAAATTATAGTATCAATAGGACAGAATGGCTGATTATCCCTCAGGCTTGCTGAGAAATCGCAATCGGCCATGGTTCCCGCGTGAGTCTGCCAACCCGTTTGAGTGGTGATTGTCAATAGCAAGCCCTATCTGAATTTTGATTTTAACAAGCAATTCAGCAATGGAGATCATCTCAAGACTTGGCTGAACTCGCCTAATTGCGGACTAAAGCTTAATATCAAGTGCATCCTACGCGAAACCAAATTCAAGAGGCATTCTACGGAATGAACAAAATGTTAACTACAGCCGAGCCAAATGGATCAGAGGGTGCCGGAGCTTATATGCCAAGAGGCAGTGTGAAAATAAAGTGACTTGTAAAAGATACCCGGCCATTGCTCGTACCGGGACCTCTGAATCCGAAGTCCAGCGCATCAACTGGACGTCTATCGTTTTTGGGGGGAGGGAAGGTGAGATAATTTTTTTTTATCGTAAATTATCAGCATTTATTAAGCCCTAATTAGTTGATTAAACATTCTCATTGGATACTATTTTTTGGGCAGCTGTTACCGTCAATACAATGATAATTCATCGATCGCTCCCATATTTTTTGTTTCAATACACCAAAACGTTTGCAAATCTCCACATCACCTCTAGATGTGCTTAAAATCTAAAAATTGCATGAAATATCTGCTTCACTAATTGCAAACCTTTGATTTGACACGTCTCTACCCATATTAATGCCAAGTAAGGCTAATTTAATCGATTACATGAACAAAATCAGACATAAAATCTTTAAATTTTGCCTAATTGATCAGTGCAGTCAAAAACCAAAGGAGAAAAAAAAAAAGAAAAAAAAATGCCTGTAACAGCTACGGTTGTACGTATATTGGAAGGCATGATTGAGGTTATCTGATAGCGGAAAACTACTCTAAACTTGCATCAAAACTGAAATGAAAACAGAGCTAAAAAAATCGAACAAACCTAAAACCGCACTACTGAAACCGAAAGACCGACAATTTTGAGTGCTACAACCAGAAAACCGAAAAGCACAATGTTCCAATCGTATGGGCTAGGGGGAACGAAAAGGTTACTCTTAAATCCATTTTGTAGATGAAATTTGAAATAAGGATTAGTCTTTCTTCACAGCCTTTATGTATAGTCCGTACCTCTTCAGAGTTCCTCTCTAATCATCGTCACGTTTGGCGTCGATCCAACCGTCCAACAACATATTTGGTGTCGTGACATTTATGAAACTGAGGGAGAGGGAATGCATTTCAACTGCAGTGATATTCGACAGCATAGCGCCGGTTTTTGACAAAACGTCATATTAAATGGCAAAGTTCAAATTTGCTATTTGGCATTTAATTACATACCTGTTTTGCTACAACGCATTATTTATCACTTCAACCATTTTCGCTCGCTATGCACCTTAATTTCATCTCATTTACGTTGCGCAAATTACTGTCTGGGTACCCCGGTAGGGAGAGTGATGTCATTTTATTGGTCACGATATGTGAAGATAAAAACAAAGTGGGCCCCTCTAGTTTATCGAAGAGGCACTATTGTTTATCTCGCCTTCCATCGACGTGTAACATCATCACAAGATGAGGTCTCATATTACTTGCACGCCAACATGACCTAGAGGCATTAAATTTATATTATACCGATAATGGCTGGGCTTTCGGTTTCCACTGCCAAACGAAGCGGTAAAGATTTTCCTGATCAAGTTCTGAGCTCGGACGATTTGGAAGAAATCCGTCGAACTTGGGACGAGGAAGAGAGCGAGGTGGAAGAATTTGTAAACGATTCCAAAGGTCGTCGTCAAAATCTCTCCTCGTTGATTTCGGGAAACGCGAGTGCTTCCTCAAGCCATGGAGTGCCAACGTACTCTTTGCACTCAGTGCAAGTGGCAAAGAGTCTCTGTCTGTTTGTTTGCTTTTTCGGATTGGTGAGCTTGTTATGAATATAGTTAGTGATACTGTATAAAATAGTTTAACCGAAGACTGCTGACGTGTGATCCCTTTCGAGTCCACAGAATTTACTCGTAGGAGAGCGCTTTGTGTACAGGCAACCTAATTGACATTAGCTACTGATCCAGACAAACAGATCCTTGGGCTTATCTGATTCCTCCCAAAGAAATTTTGTCTACTCAGCAAAGTTGATTATAAAAGATTGAAACAAAAAGCAAAAAGATTAAATATACAGATAAATCAATGAATGAATTTTACCATGGTTTGGTACATGCAAATGCTGCACTCTCTATTCTAGTCATGGTAGTTTGCCTCAGTAAGAGATACTGTGATCCACAAGTTAGATGGCTGGACTGCTACTGATTTGCTTGAATTTGAGGTCCAGACTGGGTCAATTGAAACATGCATTCTACTGTCACTATGCCTGTCTGTACCCCAAGGGAGGAAAAGGGGCTAATGCTTCTCTTCACACAGGGGGAGAAGTAACTGGATGAGCATAACAGTTCTGTTTTTTTCTCTACAGGGAATATCTGTGGCCATTTTGGGACCCACTTTGATAGAACTAGCATGTCAAGCTCAAACAGAGTTGGAAAAAATGTCATTTGTGTTCACTGCTCGGGCCATTGGCTATCTGATAGGAAGCATTGTGGGTGGTTGGTTATTTGACAGGTATAATGGGCATTTGGTTTTGTCCTTATCATGTGTTTGGGCAGCAGTGATGATGTGGGCTCTGCCTTACGTTACCAGCCTTACTGGTCTTCTTCTTGTCGTGGTACTTATGGGCTTAGCCCTTGGATCAGTGGACACTGGTATGTAAACATTTTTATGATTCATAATACTGTAATGATTTGATGTAGTGCCCTAGTTCCAATGAGTGTTCCCTCCCTAATAAGGGCCCCTATTTTAATAAGTACCCTTACTGAGTATTAAGTACCCTCATTCCATTAAATGCCTCCAATCTGTTTCAGTGATAGCACCACTAGAAACCTGCACATTTTGAGTTCAAACATGGTTTATCTTCCTTTAATTGCTTACAAAAGCCACTGACCATAAATATTGAGAATCTGCCCTTAGTTGTATGAACCTTTTTCAAAAAGTATTCCAAAAAGTCCTAATTTGCTTTGCTTACTGCAAAAAATTGAGGAGTTCAAAATATGCCTATTGACAACCATTTTCCCCACTGTAAAACAGTGAAAAATCATGCAACTTTGGTAACTTTGTATGACACAATGCAAGGCATTGCTGCTTTCAAATGGTTATTATTTTCTTTGTAAAAATATAAATCTATTGTCATGTTCTTACCTTTTAAGTCTTCATATTGACCTCTTGAAATAATGGACTTGGTTTCATTTTTGTAAAAGTAAAATGAAGGTCAAGTTTGTAGGCCTATGGTAAGGTCTGCCATATGTATTTACAAATCATAATATATATTATCCTAAAGCCTCATCCTTGTGGTTTAATTCCTCAAATTCCCTTTCTTGACCTGCCATAAACAACATGTCCACTGGTTGAAAAGAGTTTTGGCTATAATAACAAAAATGCAATGCGAAAGGCACTGAACAGCTGTCACAGCCTATTTAAAGGCCATTCCTAAAACCTTATTACCAAAACAGTGGCCTTTATCTCAGTCTTAACTATTATGTCTGTGTGAGTGCAGAGTTTCTTCATTGGAATGATCTAATCTTAATATCTTGCAACAATTGCATGGCTGGTTGTTATTAAGCCAGGAAGGATCCAGGGACAAAAGATCCTTTTGAAACAAACATAAACTAGCTTTGTTGTACACATTGTGTCATTTCTCAAAAAAGAAATAGGTGCCCTGTCCATAATGAGCACTGTGTTGCAAACAAGCACCCAACCCTTTAGGTACCAAAAACAAATAAATGCTCTGGGTGCTAAATCAAATCATTATGGTATTCATTTATTTTTAAACTATTTTTGAATGGTGTGCAAGTCATTGAGACCTGCATGCATGAGGGAGAAGTGAGTTTTTTTTTAACTCATGCTATTTTGCAAAAGTGGGTTGTGCTCCAATGGAGTCCTGAAACTCTCAAATTGAGCAGAAATAATACATTTTTGCCCTTTTTGGGCCAAATGGCAATAAAATGTATCCTGCTCTTACTCTTGTTACCCTTGAAAATTCTGTTTAATCCAGCCATCATAGGTTATTTATTCTTGACTTAACACTTTGAGCCCTAAAAGTGACTAGCATCTAATTTGTCCTTATAATATCACCATTAATTCATACATTAAGGTCACAATAAGAAAGGAAATAATCACCAAATAACAAAACTCTTGATTGGTACACAAATTCTCCTTATCAGCTTCTTAGGAAATGTATAGAGAACAGTTTGGAGAATATGCATACTGATGTTAGGGTGTAAAGGGTTAACTATTTGAATTTTACTGTGTCCCACAGTGGCCTTACCTTTTTAAGTTTCAGATTTTAAGGTAAAGGTCTTGTTGAAAATATTCAAGGAAATGAAATAATTTTTGGTTACATTGTATAAGCATTTTGTTTTCTATTCTGCTTGTTACCTGATGGTGAAGAAGAAATTGAAATGACTTAATTTGACCTAAAATTTACTAGTGGTAAATATGCTACAGACTATATGAGTGAACATTCAACAATTATTCCACAAGTTTGCATTGGATATGAGATGATTAACAACCAAGGAGGCTCATAGGGCCAAGTTGGTGGTAATCATCTCATATCCAACAATTTTGAGTGGAATAATTGTTTTATTAAAAACGCCCCAAAATAGAATTAAATCTTCCTAATTTAATTTTGAAAGAACAAATGGAATGTTAACAATATACAAACACACTTTTAGCTTAGCTTGTCTCCATGCACAAAAATTGTCTAATGGCTCATAATCCATGATGGCTAGGCCAATCAAAACTCTTGAATTACATTATCTAATGATCCAGTATTTGATAAAGAGTGATAGACCATCAGCTCAGAGCTAACATTGCCTTGGCTTAATTTAGCCCTTTTGTGATAAGTGAACCACACTTTATGCATTTCCTTTTACAAGGAAATTTGAAAGAGTTGTGGGCAACTATAGTACTAATACAAAGAAAAACACACAAAAAATAAATGAATAGATAAATAAATAAACAATAAGCAAAAATAAACTAACAAAGAGACAGACAAATTTGTCAGTGATCTTCCATACACAGGCTTTTATGATGTAAAAACATCCATAAATTATCTCAACTTTTACCCCCCTGAGAGTGACCAGCATCTAATTTCATCTTACAATATCACTGGTGAATCAAACATAAAGGTTATCAGAATAAAGGAAATGATCAATGTGTGAAGAAGCTTTTGACTGATTAATAAATTCCTCTCGACAATACAATAGGATATGTACAGAGAGGATATGTACAGAGACCAGTGACTTACATCTAATTTCATCTTACAATATCACTGGTGAATCAAACATAAAGGTTATGAAAATAAAGAAAATGATCAATACGTGAAGGAGCCCTTGATTGATAAATCAATTCCTCTTGACAATACAATAGGATATGTACATAGAACGATGAGGAGAATCTGCATGCTGATACAAGGGTGTAGAGGGTTAATCAAAAGGGCTCTTCGTCAACCGCTTAAAATAACTCTTTTTTATTATATCACTGACAGTACCCTTTGTCAATATGAAGCGAATCCAATGTTCTGATTGGCTAACCGAGCGAGCAAGATGAGCCCATCTTGCCCACTCGAGATATACCGCTGAGATCCCGTGCACGACAAAAAATTCCTTGGAGCGAACTTAAAAAAAAGTTCGTAGTTTTTGGACAGTGTCGGTGGTAGAGTAAAGCGGTAGAAGACAATCAAAGTAGAGAAACATGCAAGACTCTCCATATGGCTTTCTTTTCCGTCTCTCGAAATAAACATATCATTCTTTATTCTTAATGAATCGAAGCTTTTTTCTAAATAATAAATCCTTTGTTCTGTCAAGATAGCTGGATAATAGCCTCTTTTTTGGAGGGTGTTTTATGGACCTCGACTTCGTGTCGGTCCATAAAAACGCGAAAAACGCTCTCGGTCAGTATCCAGCCATATTGACCTCACACTTGGTCAATAACGTTTATAACTAATGGTACCTCCCTCTATGACGTCATGTGAGTCCAAGTGCCAATGCAATGCTCTCTTGGTTATGTTTTAATGTTTTTCCATTGCATTTCAGGTGGCAATGTTCTCTTACTGAACACGTGGGGTAAAAAATCAAGGCCTTACATGCAAGCTTTACATTTTGTATTTGCGTTCGGGGCATTTGTAGCCCCTCTTATAGTGCAGCCCTTTCTTGAAGATAGAACAACGAGCTTAAACAATACCGCTAGCAGCACTAATGGCACAAACAGCACAAACAGCGCCATAACTGGCAACCTGGTCTGCAGCAATCAAACTGGCGAGAGCACAATGCCTGTCACGTGGGCCTTTTGGCTCGGATCTATTCCACTCGCTGCAACTAGTGTTGGATTCATGGCTTTTGTTCTGGTTAAAGCCTGTCATGTACAAAATATACAGACTCAGAATGAAGATACTTCTAAAACCAACCAGGGCAGTGTGATGTACAAAGTGGTAATTCTGTCCCTATTTTCAGCTTTCCTCTTGCTCTACGTGGGCATGGAAGACGCCTACGGAGGCTACATTTTTACGTTTGGCGTCACAAGCGAGCCGAGATTGTCCGACGACAAAGCCGCGTTCCTTACGTCCGCGTTCTGGGGAAGCTTTGCCCTGGCCCGGCTGGCATCTGTACCCTTGGCAAGATACTTGAGACCCTCGAAGATGATATGCCTTGACATGATTGGCTGCTTCATAGGATCAGCAGTGCTGGTCTCGCAGTTCACCCATGGCCAGTGTGATAGATCCCAATCCACAAAGCTATGGACAGGAACAATTATTTTAGGCGTTTCTATGGCGTCGATTTTCCCTTCGGCTATAAACTTTGTAGAGTATTTTGTAACAGTTTCGGGTAAAACAGCTTCTGTTCTTTTAGTTGCGTCAAGTTTTGGAGGTATGCTCGTTCCTTTAGCAGTAGGGCACACAATTGTTGAATCGTCTGTAGGACCGTGTTCTCTGATGGCCTGCTCTCTCGTAATCAGCGTGTTGTCATTTGTAATATTTTGGTTGATTAAGGGGGCCGGTCGTTATTTTAAGCGTCATGGGGACGGATTTGTGGGGATGCGTTTTCAAGCGAAGCAGAAAAACGATGAGGAGGTAAGAAAACGCCAACCCGACGAAGTTTTGCAACTTCTGGAAGAGAACAATGAGAGATTCAATGGCAGTCAGGATAGAGAAACTTGAGGCTTCTTCTTTACAATGTGTGGTTTTTTTTTAAACTAGTATTTTAAACCACCTTTAGATTGTGTCAAAAAAGCGACGAAACCAAAGGAACCAGAAATAAATGACAAACAACATTAACATTGCCATAGGCCGACGAGAACTCATAATAGCTCTATGTGAATCGCCTCAACCGGGAGAAATTGTTCTTCGCAGTTGTTTCAGTATTGTCTCCGATTGGTTAAGATGGTTTTAGTGAGTATCCTAGATGAATCAGAGCGCGAAGCGGAGGAAATGCCGTGCAATCTGGAAAAAATTGTCATTATGTATACGAGACATTGTGCGATAAAATTTGTCACGAGTTTAAAATAAGTTGTTTCAAGTTTCTAGGTTTTTGGACATGCGATTTAACAGAATACACTATAAAGCGTGTAATAGACTGGGATATCCATCCAAATTGACATAAATGAGTAACACCAAAATACATGTACCTAAGTCACCTTTTTGACGTTCTTTGTTGTAACTCAGCGTATTCTAACAAGAAGACAACGAAATTACAACTCCGTCATTCCCGAATCGGAAGAGAATATTGGTTTATTAGGCACTAAGTCTTACGAAATAAATAATTCAAAACGTAAACTACTGATATCTCGTCTAAGTTATTTACAATAATATCGCAGATGAAACAGCTTCAAAACGATCCAATTACCCTCACCAGCCCGTGTTAAGGACTGGATTCTATTTAAAAAGAATACCAGGGATGATTTAACACTTTCAGCGACCTGAAGATCGCTGATAATAAGCACTCTGAGACAAAATTTCATGTCATTAAAAGAAGGCAGTCATTTTCTTTCAAAGAATTGAAATGATCCTAATCTAAAGTGGTGTTTACGCGTTTGCGAAAAAATACTGGGGTTGCGAACAAACTAACAGCAAGGTTTACAGTAACGTGCAACCAGGCCCTTGTTGTCAGTGCTTAGGCACGAGCGTTTCTCTGCCCGCGGGAAAGTATGATGCTCATATGTTACTTTGAGCAACCGGAGTCGGCGACTGGTTTAGTAGGGGTCTTGCACTAAAATTAGTGTCAGACTCCCCACAAACCTCTCTCTGACTCGTTTCATATCTTCCCGAGGTGAAGGAACGCGCGTCTTACAACACTTATGATAAAGGCCTACTCGAGAGCTGGGTTCACAGATAATTTTAAACCATTGGTACAGACATCGTTTGAGATATAGCCTGAAGAAATTCAGAACTAGTCTGAACGGCTAGATCAGTGACAGAGATGGGGAAGGGATCTCCTACAGAAGAAGGGTGGGCACCCCTCGGATACCCGCATCAGATGCCCGCCGTCGTCAGATAACTCGTCGAGGACAAAAACAACAGCGCTAGAAAAATATGGCATAAATTACTTGAAACTTAATTCCATTTAGAAATAAAAACAGTGGGAAATGAGTTGATGATAAAGATATGATTGATAAGGTTGGGCCACCACGACAACAATTTTTAATATCCACTCCTGTTATTGTGGTAACACTCTCTTCTGTTGAGTAACCAAGCCTCTAGCAGTTGGGTATTCCGCAGAGTCCGATGAACCCAGCTGCTGACTGGTAGATAGCGGGCCTCTACTTTTACGCCTGAGAGAAATGAAAAGGAGATCATTTACGACACATTTTTGAAGGGGAGAGGGCAAGATACTGTCGAGGATTAGAGAAGGAAAGGGGAACTGTGAGTGCAACATGCCATACAGTCTGCATCGCGTAGTTTTACAAACAATGTCACATATTCCACTGAAAAGAAAAGAATGATGGGAAAAACGAGTATTTGACAAAAAAAGTTTAAAATAACGCTCTCTAAGTTAGTGGTACTCTCGAAACCTACTGCTGGAATTAAATTAGGGCATCTTACCCAGTTTTAGGTCGCTCGCTATGATCGGGTTTGTCTCTTCTCTTTGACTTCACCTTAGTTTTACTGAGAAGAACACTAGAATAAGAATGAATGAACATGGAAGTTAACAGCGTGTATCTCTGGAAAAGTTCAGGCTATCACAAAGATAACCTTCTAAGCTTTATTGTCAGTAGTAGGTTTTGTGTTCGTACAACATGGCCATCAGTTTCATTTCGGTACACCAGTGTACAGTTGTAAGTCTCCTGACAACTCAGTGGTTCTTTGATATGTTACGCAACGCTCACCGTAAGGACTCTCTAGGGTGGTTGCTGTGTTGCAACCCAAAAAACGGCTGCGAAGAAAACTACCAATATGGCCGCTATTTCATTACTTTGGAGCTTCAACATGGCCACCGTCTCACTGTTATGGTATATCATCAGGACCGCCATTATAATTGTTTTAGTAAATGAACAAGACCGCCGTGAGGTCATGTGAAAGAGCTCTCTGCTTTTCTCTAGCAGCGCGCGAACACCGATTTAACTTTAGGATTTATCGACAGGATTTAACTACAGTACAAGGTGTTGCAGCTTACTCAGCATCGAGTGTGAGATCTTCCTCATCCTGTAGAGCCGCATCCAAAGCAGCTTGAACCTTAGGTGCCACAGCAGGCCCCTCATAATCCCTGGTTGTCCTGTTGGGCATGTCCAGCTCGATCATGATAATGTTCTCGGCCTTGAAAGAGAGAGACAGAAGATGAATGTAATCTCAAGAATTACCACAAGATGACAATAGCAGTCATCAGTTAACATTACTTCAGTCAATACATTGAGCTGACATTTACCTGTCGCCTTTTTATTCATACGTTATTTGGATTTTCCAATATTTGTGAAAATTTGATTTTCCCGTTTAGTTGCGTCACGGATTCAAGGATAATTTTAAACAATCAGGATAGCAAAGAAATATACCAGTTGTGGATCCAGCTCTAAAGGCTAGTTGGGAACTAAAACATTGGGGGGGGGGGGGAAGAGGTTGAGGAAGCGGCCCTAACCCCCCTGATCACCATCATGAAGTTGTACCTTGTATCGCATGTGACCACCCATGGCCGCCGCCATTTTGGCATATTCAGTAATAGGTCGTCTGTTGCCCACGGCTGAAACCGGTCGTTTAGCCATGGCTTGCTGGCTGCAAAGTGGAAAATAAAAGCAACCATAAAAAAAAAGAACATGAGCTTGGAGAAGCCATCCTCCAGACATGCGCCATTATGCGAGGTCATACACCACGAAGATTTTGAAGACGACACCTCATCGATCTTTCTTAATTTATTTTGGGAGTCATGGGTATGACAGAGTTCGATATGAGCCGCGAAAGATAAATGAATAAATAATAGTAAGTAAATAAATAAATAAATAAAATGATATACGTTTGTGCAAACGTCACGACGCCAACAAGATGGAATTTGTTTCCTCGTCAAGCTGGAGGAATACCTTAACCAACTGAGAGATGGAGCCACTGACAGTTTGGAGCAGGTCAGTTGAGACAGGGACAAATGGATTTGGGACAACTGAGCCGGAAACATGAGCCTTTATACAGCTCCGATTTCTTCGCTCAAGAATCGAACCCAAAAGCGGGAGTCAATTTTTCGTACGTGACTTAATCAAATTACTTCTGAAAACAATCTCTGGCGGCACCTAGAGTTGCAACGAAAGTTTCGTTGATAAAGAACATTGTGCAATAATCATCCAAAAGTTATTCACCTGCCGTTCTGAGAAGAAGGTTTCAACTGCCACTCCTCCTTTTCATCGTCATAAACCGCTCTATTAGTAAGTTTGACTCGCTCGTCAGGGGGAATGAAGTTCTCTATTATCAAGGACCTTTAGAGAAGGAAGGCCAACAGTTAGAGAATGGTTCAAACATCTACCAAATATGATTCAATTTCCCAATTATTGGTGCTGATGAAAAGTGCCTACAAATCTTTTTGTCCTCCACAAGGACTGTGCATTAAGTTTCCCTTTATCCAGAAAAACTCGTTCTCTGAATGCATCCGCAAATATTACCTGCGTCTCATTTTCATTTGGACCCTCTTTCCGTGACAAGCGTCCTCACAAATATCTTCGCAAGAAACTGTCGAACCATCCAATATTTCCTCAATCTTTTCCCCTACTCGAAAAACTTCGCAATGCTTTCTTCTAGATGTCACGCAATGCAAATCACGCGTGACATTTCAAATAAAGGTTTCGTAGGGGAGCTATAGGATAGGATGCTTTTCCATAAAAAAAAATAAAATAAATTGTTGTGGAAAACTTGCTGCTGTGTAAATGTTGCTTACATTGAAATTGCCCCCGAAACGATGATTTTGTGTCTAGATTCTAGTACATTTGCTGTTTCACATGAGACAATCACAGCGAAAAGGGGATTTCATGGTCCAGCTTGAAAAGTCTTCGAAAACGAGCACTTTAGTTGTGGTGTATGTACACACAGAGTAACTCACTTCAGCTTCAGCTCCCTAGTAAGATCCTCCTGAGCCTGTTCCAGTTCCTGTCTTTCCCGAATATGCGCTTCTTGCTGGTCAGCGATTTCAGAGCGGATGGTCTGTAACTTGCCAAACAGCTATCGGAAAGATTTTCAACATTCAAATAGGAAATTAAGATAAGAGCTAAATTCATCCTCTTCAGTGTTTTTTATCCATTTATTTAATAATAATGGTTTATTTCGTTTTCAATTTCCCTCCAGACTCTCCGTTAAACGTCTGTGACCGTCATTTTTCAGAGTGACGTAAACTACTGCGCTGGTCGGGATACAAAACTGATAAGTGCGTATCGCGGTATGCAGTCGAAATGACGCCAGAACAGCGCATTTATTATCATTACTTTTCTCCTTTTCTAAGTTCATTCTTTAATCTTAATGTATTCAAAAACGTATTGATAATAATGTATTCCTCTCTAAAGAAAGAATCCTATAGAAAAACTGAGGCGCCGTAGTCTTCTTTTTCACAAGTCATTTTATAATCAGCACTTAGAAGAAGCCAAATGAATAAAGGGGGTAACCGTGATGCTGCGTCGAGGCGTGTTACAATATACTTTGGTTTTATCAACTAAGTTGATGATGTAAATTAGCCACCGTAAAGAGTTCCTGACATTTCAAGGGTTACCCTTTCCTTGGAGTGAATGACGAAGGGCGAACGCTTGAGACTTCAGCTTTACAAACTCTTTGCAATGGCCAATTTACATCATCAACTGCTCAGTTCATAAAACCAAATTATCTTTTTTAAATCAGACCCGTCTGACCAGATTCTGCTGTGAAAGCTGGTGCGTGACTTTAATACCTACCCCTGTTTGTGTTATTAAAACAGATTTACCTTTTTCAGTTTCTTTGTTTTGCTGTCCACTTCCTGTTGAAGAGATGTGTAATTTCCCTTTATTTCTACTGCATCTTCTTCCTTTTCATCTAGCTTTTGCTGTATTTCTCTTTCGCGGCGCTGAAAATAGACACGCCAGAAAGCAAATGTCAGAAAAAGAAGAAAAACAGAACACCTCGGAAAGTCTTGAACTAAAAACAATAATCTGCGAGATTGGGTTTGACTGAGAAAATTGCCTCATTATTAGCGCCGGATAGAAACGCAAACCAGCGTCACTAAACGTCAACCAGGTCACTAATGCCAGATCCCCGTCAAATTTCTCCCCGATTCGTCTTAAATCTTCCCGCGGGCGGACAAACGCGCGTTCGAAAGCGCTGTCTATGCTTCTAATAAGGGCCTATTCGCACGCTAAATTGTCGTATTTAAAGCCGGCTGGTTGTTAGCAAGTTCAGCTGTTCTTTAGAAAAAGATTCGAGCATGATGAAATCATGTTTCGAACCAGAGCAGTGAAATATACAAATTAGTCCTCTACACCCTCGCATCGGTATTTATACTCTCCACACTATTCCCACACACTTCTTATGAAACTAACAAAAGACTCTGTTTCACAATCAAGAGCTTGTTCAATTGATGATCATTTACTATATTTTCATGACCATTTGATTCAGCAGATACGTAGTCCAGTAAAGCAGTATAAAGCAAGAACCGGATGATGGCAATATTCAAAGTCAGAGGTCCCGTTACTGAAAGTCAAGTTGGTTTTTCATGTGAAAAATGAGTTGGCCAATGAAACAAACAACACGCACGAAAGCGACTTTTTCATACTCAAAACAATAATAAAAAAAAAATTATTCCGTTACAGCGGTAGCGCGTGACCACGCACTCATTCTCAGTGCGTGAGAGAAGACATGTATTTTTACACCCACGAAAAGATAAGAGATGAGAGAGAGGGAGAGGTTTTAACGGAAGTGTGGAACTTGGTCATGTGGACCAAGTCCTCGTACTTTCCTAGTCGCACGCTATTACAGCTGTATAATTTTTACTGGAAAGGAGGGAAATTATGACATAATTACAAGCGCTCCTGGTACCATTTTTCTCTTGACACTCCATTCGTTTTCCTGCTGAATATAAAACCTACCTGTTGTTCAGCGATCTGTATCCTTTGTTCCTCCAGAGCTCGCTCTTGTTCCGTGGTTTTGTCGACAATGCTCTTACCCCCGACCAGCAATTTACTCTCCATCATCTACGGAGAGAGAGGGTCATGTTCTTAATGCAACATTACCATAATCTTAGCTAAGCGATATTAAACAGGTAGTTTACTAGGCCTCCTATTCTCCGAGCAACATTACCTCACTTTTAGCCAAATGACATTTAACAGTCTGCTTACCTTTATTTTTGATTTCAGACCTGCCTGGGCCTCCTGTTGTTTTTTTAACTGCTGTGCTTTCTTCTGGATTTCACCCATAAGCTTTTCCTTTTCCTACAGGAAAACGAGCGTTGTTTCGTCATATTATTTAACTTATCTGTTTTTAATGTATCATTGAGGCATCACAGTCTTTCTAGTGTATCAAATATGTGGGAGAGAGGTAGACAAGACGGATTAATATCAGTATCTGGGCTACCGCCCACCCACCCCTCCCCTAACTCAACAACAGTCAATTGAAAACAACTTAAGGTTAATGTTGGGTTGAGGGAGGGGTGGGTGGGCAGTTGCCCAGATACTGATATTGATCCGACAAGACAATAAAAACAAACCCACACGACTCAATAAAAAAGACTCGTAGAAGCACATACCTCTGCCATCATGCTGTGATTTTCTTGGAGAGCTTTCTTATCCTCTTCAAGCCTAGCCTGCTCCAACTTGATTTTATCTTCCGCACTCTGCTCGCTTCCTTCCTCGCCTTCTTCCTCTATTTCTTCAGTTTCACCATTTTCTTTTTGTCTCCTTCTCTTGACTTTCTTAGATCCCGCTCCACCGCCACCTCGTTTTTCCAGTTCCCTCTTTAATCTACAAACAAACCAGACAACTTGAAATGAACAGTGCTATCTGCAGAAAGAGACCGCGTGAATTTTTATATCATTACAAATGCACTATTGACCATGCGCGAGGTTGAAGTGACTGGATATATATGAATGAATTCATTGGCCGAGCGCAAAATAAACGAGGCTAACATTCTCCTATCTTGACCAAACAAGCTTGGCTAATAAATGATTTATAATATTGCAAAAATACTTTGTTTTAATAAGAATCAAGAATAACTTTATTATTTTCGAGCGCTAGGAGAGATAGCTAACTGTGATGGCGCGTGCTCAATTTTAGTCGTTTTTCTTTGTTTGGACTGTTTTCTGCCGCTTTTTGCGACTCCATTGCCCAAACTATCCAAAAATGACGAACTTTTTTGTTTGTTTGTTTGTTTGTTTGTTTGATTTGTAGTTGTTTTAGCGAGCTGGCAAGATAGCCTCATCTTCCGTCCTCGGATAGCCAATCAGGATACAGGATTCGCCTCACCAGGCCCGCGGGCGCTCCCAGCTATATAAGACATTGAGATAATGTGCCAAACTGCGCTCAATAATTTTACATGGTTTGTATTATATCACCTTCCGATCTCCTCTTGAAATTCTCTCAACAGAGCATCCTTGGGATCTTCATTAATCTTCGGTTTGTTTTTAATGTTCTTGGCCCTGTTTGCATATCTGTGACCAATAAAAAAGTCATCAATATTTTCAAAAAATGAAAATGAATTGAAACGGCCAAGCGATTCTTGAATTCACAGAGTTAAAAAATAGTTGTTCTTTCAAACAAACGAGACTCTGTTAAAAAGACCGAGAAAAGACATCATTTTTATCATTACTATTAAAACAACATACCTAAGTGTTGTGATCGTTTCCTCAAAATTATAACTTGCTGGACCCTAAATGACGTAACAAAATTATCCGGTGACCGCTGAGAATGGTTACTCTAAATTAGTGAACTTAGAGAGCAAGATTACTCTGCGCAAATAGACACGGCACATTTCCGCATGCGCCGTTCGAAAGTATGAAAACACATCCAGCTTTCTCGGTTTAGTTCTAAAAAAAATGCAACTTAATATACAGTTACCATTCAAAAAGTAACCTAAAACAAAATAAAATAAAAAAACAAAAACAAAAAAACTTACAATGTTGGCAACCATTACTGTACGTGCGTTTCCCCCAAGCGAATCTGTTCGCATCAGAGAAATAAGAGGAATTTAGTGACTGAGAAAAAAGCTTTGACCAACGAGGAATCTTTCGCAACTTAGTAACTCTTTGTACATATATTTACCTTGCAGCAATCTTGTTAACTTGGAATCTCTGTAAGGCACATGAGTACTTTTTCCATCCACCTACGAAAAAAGTCGTTAATCTGCTAAATGTTCCGGCATGTCATTTTGCTGCACCATTTCGCTTCAGCGTGCATAATAAAATACTGTAAACAACCGTAAAAGGCAAACTTCTTCATTTTTAACTTCTTTTGTTCCAAAAAGCAAAATATTAAACAGATGTTTACTTACTAATGCAGATATCACATTGCCAAGAGCCGAGAGAGACAGGTTGATTTTAGTAGCTTCTTTGAGTCTTTCACCCTACCAAAAAAAAAACCACAACAAAACAAAACAAAAATAAATAAAACTACATTTCGCTCCCGACGTGCAAAACCTTCTCAGGATTCAAGAGCTTCAGAATGCGCCATACATTCACAAACCTAACACACTTTATTAAGAAAAGCAGCTTAGGAAAGAAACACCACATTTTGCTCACGACGTGCAAAACTTTCTCAGGACTCAAGACCTTCAGAACGCGGCATACATTCACAAACTTCACATACCTTATTTAGAAAAGCACATTAGGAAAGAAAAACCACATTTCACTCACGACGTGCAAAACTTTCTCAGGATTCAAGAGCTTTTGAACGCTTCATACATACACAAACTTCCCAAAATTTGGTAAAGCAGGTTAGGAAAGAAAAGGAGTGGACCTGGGTCAAATCAATTTTTTTCTAGCGCATTGTGAACTGGGCCGGGTTTTTCGAAAGGGGGTTCACATTAATCTAGGATTAAAAGTTAACCTTGGCTTTTATTTCTCATGTAGAAAAGAGCTAAGATTTTGTTGAGGTATATATCAATATGACTCGCAGCTAACTGAATAAAATCCCTTTGCAAAGCTTTTAAACTGAAATAAAATTTACGCTAATCCCAAGTTAGGTTAATCGTGTTTTGAATAACCCGGCCCAACTGGGTGTTAGCTTTTAGCTCTTACCGTAGCTCCAGTCTTCGTCTGCCTCTCACTGCCAGCCAGATCCACCATATTCAGTTTACCAACACGGATGTGATTTTCACCATCTGCACCAGGCTAAAAGGAATTTAAATCCGTTTAAAGTTAAAATCAGTTATAAGAAGGAAGTAGTCTTTACGTGGATCAGGATGAATTCGAGTAGTTCTCAATTTTCAAACAAGGAAATGCACTCTCTTTGTTTACAACACAGTTATCAAATAGAGCGCTTTACCAAACCCAAAGTAATCAGAACAGCCAATCAGAAGAAAGTGATATACCTTTAAGAGCCAATGAAATCTCAAAGTGAAAAACAACCAAACTGCCTAAAGCGCGAGAAAACGCGGGCGACTAAGTCGTGATTGGTTTTAGTGTTGCATTTGATTGGTCGAGAGAGTGGTGTGAGTTTCTAGACCAATCACAGTGCGAAGTAAAGCAAACCAGTGCAATCACCCTCAACAGTCTACTGAAAATGACTCTATTAGGGATTTCAACTTTTTGGAGTATGGAGTATCGACTTGATGAGGGTTCGATACATACTAGAGACGAATAACTAGTAGATAAAGAACTGTTCCTTTTCGAAATGTGTTATGGAGATTTATGTCCTATTTGATGATCAACAAACAGTTTTTTTTTTTTTAAAGAAATAAATACATTTTTCCCGTGTTATAATAGACATAATTACCTCACTGCACTCAATTGTAATGATGAAGATAGCGTGGGATCTGGATGAATGTTCGTTCATGTTGGTTGCCCTTTAATTTTGAAAGGAAAAAAATTAAAATAGAGAATTATAAGCCAAGAAGGAAAAATAACAACTGAGGATGGAAGAGATTACAAACGATTAGAAAACCCGCGAGCAAGGTCTCGTGTTTAGGTTCGACCTTCCGGCCTCTTTAACGGGCACAGCCGCCTTAATTACATCATCGGTAGCCACTTATAGAAAAAGTCATTGACACAAATTGCTTTATTCTGTCAACTTAACAAATTCACACTAAATTTTACGAGAAGCATACACTGTAAGATACAGTAGCTCTTTTAGGTAACTTTTCTCTATGAACAAAGCAACTTTTCTCGTCTGAATGAAAACTACATCTAGCTGGGGCCATGATGCGATAACATGTATTAATGAAATAAAACTCCCAGTTGTCTTTCTTCTAATCTTCTCGTGTGCACAAAATTATACCACATTATTACAACACTAACCCCACAGCTCTATTTTGGTTGCCCACGTTCATCACATGTTCAATCTCTTTAACACTTTTACATACAAACGACTGAAGATCCTATAACAAACAAATCAACACACAAAAAAGCATTTTCATAGAGTGTCAGAAATTACTCCTACCAGTAAGGCAATTAATTAATTGTTCTAATCAAAGAGGCCTTTGAGTTCTAGAGATGTGAAATTGGTTTTAATGAGGTTTCTTGTTACCAAATTTAAGCTAATGGCAAATGCTGGACCCAAGTGGTTCATCCAGCCAGAGCTAGTCCCAGTTTCTGCGGCGTGGAGTGACAAGGAGTATTACTTCTCCCCCCTGAATGGGATGCCAGTCTATTACAAAGTAACCCCCCTGTATTTCATCAGGCTTTGCTGACAATTTGCTAGTACCCATTTATACTTCTCATGGAGAGAGGCATTTAAAAGTAAAGTTTCTTGCCAAACAACACAAGAAAAATTAATGACCAGGCCGAGTCTTGAAACCAGAACTCTAGACGCAGAGTCCAGCACATTAACCACTGAGTGAGTAGTCCTTTCCAACCAATCTTAGTAGTAACAATAAGATTTTGTAAGAGCACAAGAATAACCCCTATCCACCCACTATAGCAGGCAGAGGCTGATGTGCTAATAGGCCATTTTGCAGTTGTGTACTTAGTTGCCAAGCCTTTGATTTGGATTGAGGCTGAAGGTGACTGTATTGTGATAGAGGCCAGTATCTAGTTAGCATGATAACAAAGTAATTTACATTTGAAAAGCAGCAACTTTTGTGTCATAACAAGGTCACCCTTAGCCTCACTTCTGTTCAAAGGCTAGGCAACCAAGCACACAACTGTTAAATAGACTATTGTATGTTGTCTGCTAGATGTATGCTAACCTTGACATACACCCCAGTATCTGGTCTCTCCTTAAGCTCCAGTCTTCTTGATTGATCCTTTGATAATAAATCTCTGATATCTTCCTGAAGAAGTTGTTAAACATTTAGCAACATTAATTCATTTGCAAAGCCATGCACATGCACTGGTAATTACTTAGATCAATGATAAATCAAATAAGTGACTACCTTATTCCTCTCACATCCCTAAATTTCCCAAAACTATGTGATAGCTATTTAAAGCAGTACAGTAACAATCATGTATATATCAAATCATTTTACATTTACATACTTAAAACTACAATCCCCAACACATCCCCCCACCCCCTTTTCCATCAAGCCAGATCATCCCATTCTGGCACAGGTATAGCAAACTTGTTTCATTCTACTTTCTCTTACTTTGAACCATGATATAACCCCATATCTGAAAGTTATATAATTGTGAGAAAAATGTGGAATTATTTACAGTGTAAATTGAATAAAGCCTGAAAATAGGCCACATGAAAGCTACATTTTACTGACACTCTGTTGCAAATTGTTTGGAAAACTATAGCTGGCCTGTGAAGACCCCATGGTTACAGCTGATTAGTGTCAGATGTACCTGGTAAATTTCAAGGTATGATGCCCTGACCAAGTATTGTTGATTTTGTGTTCTAGCTATGTGAGTAAAGATGTGCTCGAAGGAATTTGGAATCACTCCTCGCAAGATTGGGTCTGATCGTACACCTAAAGACCAAAGAAAATGAACTGCAATTATAGCTATTTGAATCTTTAAACTTGCAAACCAACTTACAGCATTCTGAAATAATTTGTTGGCATTATATACAAGTAGAACACTATGACATTCAAAGTATGAATGGTTCAAATATAACTTGCAACATTACCTTCCATGGTGAATGTTTTTCCTGTCCCAGTCTGTCCATAAGCAAATATTGTGCCTGACAAGGGAAATCAGAGAGTGACATATTAATCCCCCAACAAAAAGTCCAGTTCAACCTCCGATCAGGGTCACCATGTTGTGATCCTATATTCTCCCTTTATCTCTTTCTACCCAAGAGTTAATCCCACAATTAGGTTCTCACATGTGCTGATGCAGGAACACCTCCCATGCTCAAGTATGCAAGCAAAGCTACCCAAAGAGAGCCTGCGAGGGGTCTGCCACAAGGAATGAGAAACTACAAGGAATACAGTGCTTTTGTCTAGGAATGCATCTGATTTCATTTCTCATACTAGTCTAGCTCTCACAAGCTGGCTTCATTTGCCAATAGGAACTGAATAGTCTTGTAAGCATTAAGCTGCTCCTGTCAGAGCTCCAATTAGAACTCACTCACAGCCTACCCAGGAGCATAACAAAGTACTTGCCAATAGTCAGGGAAAACAGATGAAATAGACAGTGTGGGCTAATATGCGATGGAATTGCATGTGATGTAGGAATGAGCCTTTGCTCAGTAACCTGGTCATTTTATGCCAAAAACTTCAACTTTGATTTTAACTTTACTAAAACTAAAATAATTACCCAACCAGGTTGTACAGATGGTCTACTTATTATAAAATGTATTTTCAGTCTGTCACAGAAACCTGAGAAGGCTACTTTAAGGTGGTCAGATATCAACAAACATCCATTAAAAAAGAATACTAGGACACTAATTCACCAACAACACTCCATTACCACAATTTGCTTATAAGAACAATCCTATCACATGAATATCATAGACAATAACTGATTTAAATTAAAAACTAACCATTATATCCTTCCAGTACAGAGTCCACTAACTGTCTGAAGGTTTCATCATAGAGATCAATCTGTTTTGAACTATATGAAGAAGAAAAGGGGAAGTTACAGCTAGAAATCACTGTGTTTTTCTTCTTTTTTTTTTTAACTCTTCTTAATATCTAGTTTGCCAATCACACTCTTTATAGCCATATGAGTCATGGGCTCACAAGTTCACAAATTTGAAAATCACCCCCCATTTGACCTTCTATTCAACATTGACACTATTTAGGACAGTACTGTGCAAAAGTAATGCAAACACATTTTGACAAAATTAGACTAAATTCCTAGCTTTTCAACAAATTCTTGACCAAAATGGAACTTCAACAACATTTCTGCGAATTTGCCAACCACCTATTGTTTTGAACAGTTTCAACTTTCCACAAGATATTCCTTGAGGGCATTATGCGACTAAAACTGTAGAGCAGAAATTCGTTCCTCGAACAAAATGTCACTTAAAAAACCTGATTAAACTTTCAATCAAATTTTCACTTGAACTTTAGACAAAAGATCCTTGGAACAAAAAATGAAATTGGCTGTTTTTATTTCCATTACTTTTGCACATTACTGTAAATAAACTCCCTGTGGCAGGTGGTTTGTCAGCTGACAATGTTCACAGCTGAAAGATTGTCCGAATGTGAAATTTTGAGGACAATCTCTCAACCAGGGACATCATCAGCTGACATGCCAGCAAGCCAGAAGGGGCTCCTTGGCTCTTGGAGGTAATTAGTACTGATACCAATCATTCTCAAGAAAATCAATCAGTGAGCACAAAAAAGTACTTTGCACCTTTCCATGAGGTATACTAATAATTATCAATTAAGAATCAACAATATAAATAATAATTATTTTGTTTTTAAGAATTATTTCTCCCACATTACTTCCTTATCTTTACAAATACTCTAAGTGCACTATTTCTGATGTTAATCTCAATTCTATTCAGATTAGGTAATCATATGAAAAACAAGATATTAGTTCTAGGAGACAATGGATGGCATAAGCCTTAAATAAGCTAATGCCAAAATAAAAATGGTTTAAACTTACTTCCAGTCATAAACTGAGTCATAGGTGAACATTCGTGGCACTTCCTCTTTTTTAGCGGGATTATTGATCTCAATTGTTCCTTTCTTCACATTCATCTCAATTATCCTTAAAAATATAAAATCGAGAAAGTGGTTGAAATATAATTAGGTATCAATATTACCATCTAAATGATTCTTTCACAACTTTGACAGGTTAACTTATTTTTGAAATAAATCTCAATGAAGTCTCTCATTCAAACAACTAGCAATATCAAAATAAAAATAAAATAAAATAAAAATGACAATTAGCCATTAGCCAGGGTAAAATGATTTTTCACTTATTCTTTGGAAGGTTTATCATACAGTGGAATGCTTCTTCTTCCTAAGGAGATTCATGGACATGCAGGAAGTTTTGTAAAGTAAGCTAGACTATCCTTAGTTTATAAAATTCTATTTCTAAGGCTAATATCTTATTTTATTCCACGAGCATCTGTAGTAGAGGTAACTTCCTAGGTTTCCTTTAATGTATTTGTGTTTATAACAATCACCATGTTTTGAATTTGAGTTACTGATAATAAAAACCTTTTATTGCTGTTTGATTTTGAATAATGTGTAATACTCATCACACATGTTCCTATCATCAAATAACCTTTTCCCACCTTTGATGTCCTTGAGCTATTTCCTTCTGGTTCATTGGACGACATCTCACCACCACCTTCACTGACTCACCCCCTTTTTTGTTAGACTATGCAAATCAACACAACAATCAACAATGACTCACTCCCTTTTTTGTTAGACTATGCAAATAAACAAGTTAAAACAAGATTTCCCATTTACTATTTTTCGCTCTGAACATGGTAGATATTCTACTTTCCGCCAAAAATGCTCAAAGAAGGTTCCAATTTATTTATTACTGGTTCAGAGTCAATTGATGTGCAAACTAAACTCACTTACATTCAAAAAGTGTTGATTGTGAACTACGATTCATGCACATAATATGTCGAGTATTAATTCAAACATTCAATGATGAAAGAATTTTATTTTGAGAAGACAAACTAAGGAGGTAATAGAGACTCCGAGTTTTAGCGTAAAATGTCGTAACTTTGGCTTCTAAGCTTAACAACACCTGCACATAGTAAAATTTAAAAAATACCGAATAAGAAAATAGAGACAACTTCGCATTATATTGGTATCGTTAATGTGTAATTAACCCAATAGTGAAACCACTAGTGAGAATCAGACTGAAATCTTCGGACATCCCTGACTTAACGGATAAAAATAACAAAATCACAAATTGTAAATCAGATCAAAACCGGTGATACATTTCAAAAACAGTTTACATTTCATAACTCACCATGGCGACTGTGAGTAAGCTGGATTTCGGCTTGTTTCTTGAATAAAGCGTCTATAGGTCAACCTTATCGCAAAGTCAGTTAATTTTTCATATTTTTTCCACATCAACAAATGCTATGAAAAGAAGCGGATCCCTATATTTCTCGCATATTTTCCAGAGAGGAAGCAAGAAAGCCGCCATCTTCTCTGTTTTAGTATCAAGTCCCTCTCGGTCTATATCAGAGCCGTACCCACTCTACCCAGTCCTTTTCGGAAATATTTCTCGCCTCGGTCAGACGAAAAGGCGCGCAAGTGTAAGTTACCCGACCAGAGGCAGGTTATCATGCCTACTGTCGAAGAAGAGTGAAGTCACATGGTTTCCAAAGATTAAAGTCTCACTTCTCATACGAGCCGTTTCGCTTAACACTGGTATTTTTAGCGTTTTTAGGAGAGCGCCTTTTCTGTTGGCATTATTTTCTCACATTCCCCCTGCAGGGACGTCAAATAAAATGCGCTACCTGAGAAAGTAAGATAGCAATGAAATTTCACAAACAGAAAAAGACTACCAAAAAGATGAAAATAAAATTTAAAGGCAGAAAAAATTCACGATGAATAACGCTCTATTTCCTATTCCATCACTTCCCAAAGAGAAGGTGTCATTTGATCTTTGAAGTGACTGATAGCACTGAATTGTTCCCTAGTGATGTCGGTCTTGAGAGCCGGAGACTTTCTTCTTGCAAAGCGCCTCCTCTCAATAACGATGGTTCATTAGCCAAATCTCAGAAAAACCTGAGAGAAACCAGTAGTATATTGCGATAGGCTAGGATCCTATCGAGGGGGAAAAAATTTACTCATAGGTGCAACATGCCAAGCAAACGGATGTTGCTTCTGATCCTGCAGCAGAACAAGGTAGTCTTGTATGCAGAAATTATCTTAAGCAAGCTAGCTCGGAAGGGTTTGTGGGGCGGAGGACAATGATAAGCTGATAGAAAAAGCTGCGGTGAAGCCTGTTTCCTTTCACAAAGCTGTAACTAAGTCATCTACTGAGGTACATACAGCTAAAAGTCTCTGATCTGTCACATCTCTTCTAAAGGTTAAAACTTATACTTTAATGATACATGTCATAACATGATTGGAATGCTTTGTATGCTTCTAGCTAGGCGACGCTAGATCGTGCGTCAACATAAAAACAAATATCCCTTCATATATATATATATATATATGTATTCATTTTTCATCTATTTATTCGCTTATAATTTTTTTCATTTACTCTTTCATTATCCATTAAACTATCCTTGCAACCATTCAACCGTCCGTGTGTTCGTCCACATGTCCGTCCGTTTGTCTGCCTGTATATCTGTACGTCTATCTGTCTGCCAGTCTGTCTCTTTAATTAGATTATTACATATCTTAGTATCTCGTGCACCTATAGGATTCTTTTATTAGATCGTTACGCTAATGTGTAGCTTGCATTTAGGATTATTTTTCATTAGATTGTTTCATTAATATTTCTTACACCTTGAGGATTATCTTTTATTGAATCGTTACGTTAATACCTCGCGCACTTATGGGATTCTCCTTCACTCGATTGTTAAGTTGGTATCTCGCGCATTTTTTGGATTCCCCTTTTTATTAGTTTGTTACGTTAGTATCTCGTGTACTTGTAGGATTCCCTTTCACCCGATTGTTATGTTTGTATCTCATGCACTTTTGGATTCTCTTCCATCTGATTGTTAGATTAGTATTTCGTGCACTATTAGGATGCTCTTTCATTGCATTGTTACATAAGTATCTTGCACACTTTTAGGATACTCCTTCATTCAAAAGTTACGTTAGCATCTCGTGCATTTCAGGATTGACTTACATTCGATTGTTTCGTCAGTATCCCTGCACCAGTAGGATTCTCCTTTATTGGATTGCTTTGATAACATCACGCGCTGGATGGATTCTATTTCATTTATATCTTGCACACATTTCTTTCATTTGAAAGTTATTTTAGTAACGTTTTTTAATCTATCCTAATGTTTGTGTCTCACTTTTAGGATTCTTTTTCATATGAATGTTACGTTAGAATCTCCTGCACCTTTATGATTCTCCAGTGTTTTATATGATTGTTACGTTGGTATCTCGTGCACTTTCAGTATTCTTTTTCACTGGATTGTTACGTAAGTATCTCGTGCACCTCTAGGATTTTCTTTCAACCGTTGTTACGTTATTATCTCGCTTACTTTTAAGACTGCCATACATTCGAGTAATAGTTAGAGGGCTTTTCAATTGAGTGTTGCACAACCAAAACCAACGTTATCCCAACGGCAAAGCAGAGGAAAGGAAATTGCTTCTTATAGCCAATGAGAAGCCGAAGTAAAACAAACAATCCGACCAAGACGCGGGAAAACGGGGGTCATCAAGTCGTGATTGGTTTTAGTCTTGCATCTGATTGGTTGAGTGGTGGCGTGAGTTTTCTGGACCAATCAAAGAGCAAAGTAAAAGAAAACTAATGCAATCTCAGATTAATTTCGACACTCAATTGAAATTTGCTCTCTAGCGTGAAAATGAATAGAATTCAGACGTCAGGGTTATGTGGCAGCGATGTGGCCGCTTGCGACGGATCGACATCTTTCTCAGAATTCTTCTCAGATCTTTCCACGGTCTCCAATGTGGGCTTGTAACGAGTCTCGTCCAGATACATGCTGAGTAATGCTGCCACAAGAGCGTTCAATCCCATGATCCCGTACGGAAAGATTGGATGGATACGTTGCTGAAAAGAGAAAAAACAAACTTGATCTTCATAATTTGTTTTCTAGGGTGCCACTCTCACCGCAGGGAGTCAAAAACAGTCGATAAAGTGCTCCAATTTGAAAACGCGTAGAAGGTTTTAAGCTTGGAATCAAATCGATTTGCCCTCTGGGGATGCTGCTATTTTAGTGGCACCATGTTGCCATCGTGTTGTCGCTAACATAGTTACCCTTTCACCCCTGAGAGCGACTAGCATCTCACTTCTCCTTACAATATCACACTTGAGTCAAACATTAAGGTCACGGGAATAAAGGAAATGATCACCAACTTAAGAAGCTCTTGATTGCCTAACAAATTCTCCTTGTCAGCACCTTAGGAAAGGTAAGAAAACTGTATGGAGAATATGCATACTGGTGCCAGGGTTTAAAGGGATGATCCTTTCATTATAGTACTCAGTAGGTTACTGAGCGTTGCTTCGTCTATCAAAGCGTCAGCTCTTCAAAACTTGCTGGCGCAGCTCATGCAGCTTTAATGACTCGTATGTGATAATTCGATTTTTACTTTTCTAAGGTTTTTCAGCAAAAAAAGAAAACAGCCCACGTATGCTTTCTGTGGCTTACCGTGTATATAACGTATGAAGAACTGAATGATCCAATACCAGCTGCAGCTTCTGATGTTCCCAATGCAATGTTTCTTAGGTGAGGAATCAATATTAGAAGGGTCGATTAAATATAACTAACCATAGAAATCCCTGTAGATTCGAACAGATTCTAAAAATTCGATAACCTAGCCAGATAAGGCTATCGCCCCGACAAGCTTTGTTTGGTTTGGCAAAGAAATATTCTAATGTAGACCTGCAGATGTAAGAGCTAGGAATTTTTAAAACGCTTTGATATTTTGAAGTCATCGTAGCATCGATCGATAGCTTGAAACAAAATCCACAAGTTTCCTTGAGGATTAGACCGGTACAAACTCTTACCTAATAGCTGTTGGAAAAAGCTCCGTTGTATACACATAAAGACCATCGAAAGATATCATTATCCAAAACTTGGCCCAGACCAGCGACATGATGATTTTACCGACAAAGAAACCTGTTGAAATGACAATAAAAATTGTTGAATATGTATCAAAATTAAATACAAACTTTATACAATATACTTTACATATTAATGTCTATTAACATCATGTTAATTAGATTTAACTCTCTGGATGGAGCACATGATTTATTCTGTAAGTGGGCATGTAGATGCTCACTCTCAATCTTGAACACCATCAACAAAAGTCAAAACTTACCCTTGTTGGATTCGTCATCTGTTGTCAAGA